GAGGTAAAATTATACTGGATTTATAAAATTATGCTAATACATCCCAGTTAGAATTTCCCTGGGGGCTGACCCTATAATAAGAATTTGAGTTTTGTCTGGGAGGTGAAGGCAACTCCAGTGAGAACAGAAGGGACAGGCAGCCAAAAAATGGAGCATTACCAAGCCAGCTACACACAGTGACCGACAGGAGCTAGACCTAGCGAGGATGTGCTGGGCAAAGGTATAATACCCGTGTCCGAGCACACTCGAGGCGGAAGGGAGCCGGCCTTATTTATAGACTGTTAGTCACTGGCTGAAAGCTGCTTCCCAGGCACTTCTGGCTGACCACATACTTGGGCAGTGCTGGCCTTTGACAAGCACCCTTATGTGTTAACACAGGAAGTACAGCCTGAGGGAATGGCCACTGAGAGTGGCCTTGAGAGTATTTTATTTGTAGTGTTCTTACCAGGGCAAAATGTTAGCCACTAATGTTAGTTCCTCACTTACCCTTTCCAACTCTTAATTAAATCCCCAATCCTAAAAGTCCAGGACATGATACTCCCAGCCAGAGGTCTTGTCCGTTGGTGACATGAATTACAGTGTATTCGTTGCAAGTGCAGCTCAGAGAGACGAGCATGTCCCGTCAACCATTCTGAGGAAAAAGGAGGACTCTAGAACCAGCAAGAGAACTACTGTTGCAATGTCCTTCCTGACCTTCAAATCAAACCAGGGTCGCCAAATTGTTGCGTTCCTGATCAATTTCTTTTGGGTTTTTTGTTTTTTTGAGTTGGAGTCTCACTCTGTCGCCCAGACTGGAGTGCAGTGGCCGCTCCCGGCCACCGCAGCCTCGACCTGCTGGGCTCTGGCGATCCTCCTGCCTCAGCCTTCCGAGTAGCTGGAACTACAGGCGCACGCTACCACGCCCGGCTGATTTTTTTGAGTTATTGTAGAGATGAGGTCTTGCCTGCCCAGGTTTCGAACCCACAGGTTCAGGCAATCCACTCACCTCAGCCTCCCAAAGGCGCGGGATTACAGGCTGAGCCACCGAGCCCGGCTTGATATCACCTTTTGGTAAGGCAGCTCCACTTAGGGAGGAAAAGGAATCGTTAGATACAGCTGAAATGAGATTCGATTAACTGTCTTTGCAGCAACTGCTCTAGCTTTGGTAACACCTCCTGGAAGTGGGCCGGCGTCAATGGTTACTTCTGGACGTGCAGCTAACAAGATAATTGTGTCGAGGGCTGTCATGAAATACCTCCAATTATATGAAAATATAAAGTAACTAAAATTCTTTTTGGAAAGAAAACAGTTTGGGATGAGTGGAGGGGAGAAGTGATTGTGAAATTAAATAGTAACACGGTTAAGAACTTAGTGATTAAAAACTCTAAATTTTTACTGTTCTAAATTGAACGGTTCATATTTGTTTAGCTTGCTTGGCATAGTGCTATTTAGAATTGGCATCTCAGCCAGGTCGGTGGCTCGGCCTGTAATCCCGCGCCTTTGGGACGCCGAGGTGAGTGGATTGCCTGAGCCCGCGGGTTCTAGACCCGCCTGGGCAGCGAGACCTCATCTCTACAATAAATCAAAAAATCAGCCGGGCGTGGTAGCGAGCGCCTGTAATTTTGGCTACTCGGAAGGCTGAGGCGGAAGGATCGCCAGAGCCCAGGAGATTGAGGCTGCGGTGGCCGGGAGCGGCCACTGCACTCCAGTCTGGGCGACAGAGTGAGACTCCAACTCAGAAAAAAAAGAAAAAGAAAAAGAAAAAAAAGAATCAGCATCTCATTAAAAAAAAAAAAAAAGACTAATGGTACTCAAGGCCATTGTTAGAGAATTAGCAAAGATTCCATCCACAAGGGCAGGTTCACAGCTTTTCCAAGGCTCTGTCTTCCACAGGTGTCTCAGACTGAACACAGAAGTTTTAACACTTGTTGGAAAATTACTAATGTGTTAGAAACTTTACACTCATTTAATTCAACCTTAATAATTACTAAGACAACCCCAGGAGATGGGCATTCTTTTCTCATTTAGAGATGAAAAAATCCAGACACGGAGAACACAAGTAACTTACTGAGCCTCCTAGGCTTAATTGTTGGCAAGCCTTGGTATTCTAACCAACCTAAGTGCAACTCTAGAGGCCAGATCTTCACCATTCTTCTACTGCTTCCAACATCAATTCCTGTCTTCTGACCTTTTCCCTTTAGGCTTCTGTAGGGTATTAGAGAGCCAATCATACAAAAGTGATTGCCAGTCCTAATTTTTCTTAGTGTATATTTTTAAACAGCAATTTCAAAACTTTTGTGAACTTGATCAATTTTGGCACTAATTTCTAAAATAACTTTTGATCTCTAAAATTGTAATCAAACCTAATAACATATAAACCCAATTAAGAGTCACAAGGAAGTAATTACTAACAAAATATTTTATTTGTAATAAACTTAAACTTGTCCCTTCTGTTTCCATGCTAGTCCTTTTTCTCTCCCACTTTTTTTTTTGCGTTGGAGTCTCGCTCTATTATTGCCCAGACTAGAGTGCAGTGGCATGCTCATGGCCACCATAGACTCGACCTGTTGAGTTCAGGCTATCCTTCCGCCGCAGCCTTCCAAGTAGCTGGAACTACAGGTATGCACCACCACATCTGGCTAATTTTTTGATTTATTGTAGAGACGAGGGCTTGCCAAGTTGCTCAGGCTGGTCTTGGACCTATGGGTTTAGGCAATTCTCTCGCCTGAGCCTTCCAAAGTGCTGGGATTACAGGTATGAGCCACCATGCCCGGCCTTTCTCTGCCACTTCTTGCAGGGCGTTGAGAGCTCCTTCCCAAAACTAAGGAGGAGCTAAAGGATGAGAAGAAATGACCGTCTGGAATATTTGTGAGTGGGCTTAGGTGTTCACTGAGTAAAAACAGGATTTGGGGGAAAGGGCAAAATGATGTTTCATTAAGTTCGCTTTTTTTTAGAGTCTCACTCTGTTGACCAGGTTGGAGTGCAGTGGTACCATCAAGGCTCACTGCAGCCTTGACCTCCTTGGCTCAGGTGATTTTCCCATCTCATCCTCTAGAGTAGCTGGGACTATAGGCATGCACCACCACACCTGACTAATTTTAACATTTTTTGTAGAGATGAGGTCTTGTTATATTGCCCAGGCTGGTCTCAAACTCCTGGGTTCAAGCAATCCTTCTCCCTTGGTCTCCCAAAGTGCTGGGATTACAGGAGTGAGCCACCAGGCCTGGCTGGAAAGTTAGCTCATTTTTTAAAAATTGCTTTTTGTAACCCGATCCAAAAGTCATTCACCATACCTTTTAACATTCAATGCATAGAATTGATGTAGGCCAATAGTCAATTTCCATCAGGCTTAAAAAAAATGCAAAAGATGGGAGAATTTATTGGTTACTGTTAAATGCATTTTATTTTTTAAAAAGAGACAAGGTCTTGCTATGTTGCCCAGGCTGGTCTCAAACTCCTGGGCTCAAGCAATCTTCTTGCCTCAGCCTCCCAAAGTGCTAGGATTACAGGCATGAGCCACCATGCTTGGCCTGTTTAATTTTTTTTAGGTTAGAAAATATAATGTATTTTAAAAGTAAATCAGAGAGAGAGAGAGAGAGGAGAGAGGAGATTCACCTCAAGGTAGGGGAAAGGGCCAAAACTAGGAAACATGGCAACCATAGCTCAAGGAGTCACATGGTCAGACCACAGCTTATCAAAGCAATGGCAAACGGAAAGAGAGAGAGAGAGAGAGAGAGAGAGAGAGAGAGAAAAGAGAAGACAAGAGAGGAGAGAGGAGAAGAGAGGACAGGGGACCAAAGCTCAAAGAGTCACATGGACACACCAGAGTTTAACAAAGCAGTGGGTGTTTATTTACTTTAATATACAATAATTTACTTTAAAATGCTTTAAGTATAAACTGTGTGATGTGTGCATGTGCAGTATAACTTTATTCTTGTCCTGGGGACTATTAGTTAGATAGCATTTGAAGCATCCCAATCAGATGCTTTAAACACTCCCCTAAATCTACACTGGAGTGTTCATCACCATATGGGTTGTTAGTAATTTTTCCCTGATAAATGTAGTTTGAAAGGTAAGTGCATGCCTAGAACGATTTTTAGAGGCAAAATGAAATGAAGTGTGAAAATCTGGCAGAACCTGCAAGTCGATGACTTGATTAGGGCCCCGAGGTCTAGAGTTCGCTTTGTCTTGGGCCTCTCCTCAAACCTTGACACGTTTGAGACTCTACTGCCTGATTCAGCCACACAATTGTTACCTAATTCTGCTTTTAAAACATCACTGTTTATGTCTCACTGTGAATCATTTAGTCAGTAATCATTTATGGGATTACATATGCACAGAGAAAACTTTCAGAAGGCCTCCTGCTTGCTAATAAACTTGCCATGTAAGAGAACTGTGTTTTAGATTTGCTTTTATTATAACATACCACCACACAGTGAGGTTATGCAGGAGGACACATATAGCCTTACCTTCCTGTAACAGCTGGAGGCTCCCACCAAATGGACCTGGGATTAGTGAATGACTACAATGGCCTAGACAGTCAGCAAAGGGGTAGAAAGAATACTAAAAGCACTCACTCTCATTCATGGTGAGGATCATATTAGATCCCTGAATGCTCTTCCCTTAAGGTATTGCCACTACGGAAGACCTAGTTAAGGTCAGCAGGTAAATACACATTTTCAAGTGCTGGACACAAGGCAATTCAGCCATTGTAAAAGTCAAGGTCATTCTCTGGCAGTGTTGCTCTTAAAATATAGCTAACAATTTTATACCACTTCTAATTAAAACTTGATCACTTACAAGGCTTTGAGTTTGCTAATGACCACACAAACTTAAAGATGTAATTTTAAAAGAAACGTAGCCAAAATAGAACTATTGCTCTAAATTTTAAATAAACCGATTCTTTATGCATTTTCAACCGGAAGTTGGGAAAATGTCATTGAGGTTAAAAGAAGGACAAATTGAAAACTCAAGAATCAACCTGAGTGAAGTTGTAACATATGAGAAAGCTAAAAGCAAAATGATGTCAAACATTTTATTTGGCGTCTCATGCTAGGGCGATTTAAACAAATAAAACAACTTTGCTCAACAGATTTTGTCTTTTAATGACTATGTGTACATGGACAACTGAGATAGGGAAAAACCCCAAATTAATGTTTTAACAAATTACAAGCTGTTACTAAAGACATATGCCTGGATTTAAAAAAAAAAAAAGTTCAACAGATGAATAGTCTCTCATTCATTCTGGCAGATTAACCAATCTCTCTTAAAACCGGCACATTAGAGTGGTATAAATTTATCTTTTTTAACATTCCACATACAAACACGTGTTCCCTCGCCTACATTTAATCATTAGTAGTCTCTAAAATGGTAACATAAAATGAAACTTATATTAGCAAATGAAAGTGCAAGTCTGTACAGCTAGGCTCAGCAGCAAAGGTGAAGAAGAAGAATGAAAAGTGAAAAGCTGAAGGATGCCACGCAGGACGAGGACTTTCACAAAGGTCCGAGTCCTGTGTGCCAAACACAGCCAACATTCCATCATTTTTTCATTGCTCTTAAACGAGCAAAACCAAATTCTTTTTTTTCATTTAAAGAAATAGTAAATCTTTATCCCCCCCCCCACATAATTCATGATCAGGTAAGGCAAAGATAAGTCCCACTATCGCTGGGGACAGCAGCAACATCCAGACTTCAGAAATAGCCCTGAATCATCGACCACATTCTTTCATGGTAACACATGAAGGAATGCATCCGGCGAACCAAATCTGCAATGTTGTCACATCGGCCTGATTTATTTGATTAGTTTATCTGGAAAAAACTTTATAAATACATTGCTTAAGTGGACTAAATTATTTTCTTCTTCTGAAAAAATATTTTTTCACATGTTAAAATTTTTTAGTGTGTTTTCGCAAAAGGAGTTGCAAGGTGTGACAGCTGGGTTTGCAGAATGTCCATGTACAAGATGTGTTTCTAAGAACCTGGTAATCTGCCTATAATTTGCCTCTACAAATAGAGCTCTTTGCAATAATATTTAAACAAACAGGCTTAATTTAAATACTTCCCCTATTCATTCTACCTGTAGAGGAAAGAGGTACTTCTTTTTCAAGTATTATATCATAAAAGATAAACTTTTTTTGTTTTGCCAATTTACTTGTTAAGCTTTTAAGACCATGATATCTAAGTGAAAAAAATCATGCCTAGTCAGCCCACTTTTCTTACAGCCAAAGGTTCTCGTTTTTCAAAGAATGCAGAAAAATATTGATTTGCCAAGAAGGAGCACACTGGAAAACGCCATTTGAAAGTAATGAAGAGTAAGGAGCATTTTTTTCTTTCTGTTGATGACAATTGTCAGTTGTCTTGAGCTGGTTTTAATAAAGTCTTCAAAATTATGGCCAAGAAATCTTTAGAAAACTGGAGGAAGGGGGATGCTCCTTCATAGCATGAAAGGAATTCCATTAATTGTAGAAATTCTTATTAAATTTCAGCTTTGGTTTTTCAGAAGAACTACTCATATAACTTCTATATGAAAAGACAGGAAAAAAAGAACAGATTAATACAACACATAAAAAATACTATAGCAATATTTCACGTTTCTAAAATTATTCCATACGGTTACATACATTGTCTTGTAAGAAGAGGCAATTTTGTTAGGATTCGGTCTTATATTTAAGTAAATTCTACTACTAGTAAGAAAACACATGTCCTTGTCTTTATGTCAACAAAGTCTGTATCATTTACTTTTAAAACACCATACACAGGTTATACTTTCCTTGGAGGTTAGGGATTTAAACATTCACTTCTCTTATAGCCTTAGGACCTCATGCTTAGAGTTCCAAACGTATGTTAGAGATTAAATAAATGTTTGTTGATAGTCATGACCCCACAAGATCACATTTCCCAGAGAAGGTATGGAACGCTGAGAACACTGACAGTGGAATGACTGATAACTCAGAAAGGGATTTAAGGCCTCACGGGTGAAGTAGAAAATCATCCGGAAGTTTCTTCCCTTCCTGTGAATCAGTGACATGACAAAGTAGGAAGCTGAACTGGGTGTGTTTTCACCAACTTAACATTCATCAGACTGTTCCCAAAGGCTTTAGAATCACAAAGTCAGAAGGGGAGTGGGGAGACTTTACAACCTCTTTTCTCAGCCTGGAAAAGTGGCGGTCACTAAAGTGAAGTTCTACCCCCAAGGTCAGTGCATGAGAGGAGAGAAGATGATTAGCTTCATTGGAATGGGTGGTTCATGTTGGCTTTTACTTTCCATTAAAGATTTATTTGTTATAGGTTCTTAGATGGAACCTAAGAGGCAAAACAATTTGCCCACAAATAATTCTAAACTGACTTCATTTGCGTACATATCCAGAGTTGGCCAGTTCTTTTTATAATACCAAAAAGAGATGCTTGTCAGTACATGAAAGTGATCTGCAGGGAAGAGGAGTTGACAAAATTCAAACAGGTGTGACAAGACAGGGCAAGGGGATGATCTCACTAAGTCTTGAGGTGGATGGGATTGTGCTGCTGAGCCGCTATGACCACTGAGTTAGTAATATTTGATGTTACTCCTTATTTCTTCAGGTCCTGTAAAGCTATTATTCTTTTTGCACAAAGACTTAAGGTCAAGTGTGAGTCAAAAAGACAGGGTACAAGAGAGTCACAGGCAGTTTCAACAGCTACTATAGTCACTCAACAAGGAAAGATCCTTGGACTGAGAGTCCCAGTCTCATTGCCTATATCATAACTATACATCATGTGACATTTTAAAAGCACAATAATCTATTACCCAGGTTGCCAAACACCAATACAGGCAAAATGGTAGGAGAACATAATGGCAGTCTTCAAATATCTGAAGACCTGAGAAAGATGAAAGACCCAAACCTTTCCCTAGTGGGCAGAACTAGACCCTCTGGTCTGTAAGTCACGAGGAGGCAGTCTGTCTTGCTCCGAAGCACATTCTGACAGTGAGTGAGGTAGGGCAGGGAGTGCTGCTCTGTGAAAAGAGGCCCACTGGAGAACACAGACTGGATTTCTATGCTGTGTGGGAGAATAAGGGGAGCCCTAGAAGTTGTCTAATCCAACTCAAAATTCAATTTTCATGAGCCAGGTAATTCGGTCCCCTGAAGGACAGAGTGTGACCGCAGTCACACTGCAGAAGGTAGCAGTTCATTTCCTCTTGGGCGTCACGTATTTCTGATGATTACAGAAGGAAGTTTGGGGTAAGCTTACCTGCGGTCTGTTGTGTCTGAACACCATCTACCTGAGGCAGGGGCCCAAGTGTCCCTTCATCTTCAAAGGCCAAAATCGGATTTAAAGGAATTTCTGGGTTTTCACTGTTGGCGACATCTAACCTAGATGGTTTCGATCCAATGGGTAAGTTTATAATTTCTTCAAAATTTTCATTCTGAACAGACACTCCATTTTCGTTTGGTTGTTTCTCCAAATCGCGAGTGCTGAGGAATTTGAACAATCAAAATGAAAACAACATTAGCTTTAAAACTGGAAAACACAATTTGAGGACAGCCAAAAATGTTTATCTTATTTGTTTATTTTTGAAACAGAGTCTCACTCTGTCACCCAGGTTGGAGGACACTGGCATAATCATAGCTCACTGCAGCCTCATCCTCCTGGGATCAAGCAAACCTCCTGCCTCAGCCTCCAGAGTAGCTCAGACTATGGGCATGTACCGCCATGCCCACCACGCCCACTCTGTCACCCAGGCTAGAGTTCAATGACATGCTCATGGCCACTGTAGCCTTGATCTGCTGGGCTTAGGCAATCCTTTGGCCTCAGCCTTCCAAGTAGCTGGAACTACAGACGCGCGCTACCACACGTGGCTTACTTTTTTATTTATTGTAGAGGTCTCACCAAGTTGCCCAGGCTGGTCTCGAACCCCCAGGCTCAGGCAATCCTCTCAC